TATTTTTTAAAATAATAATACATTCCAGTAAACCTGCCTGAATATTTCTCCTGGATTAGATATGTTCCTTTCTCCATGTCAAAACTTGCAACCTGACTATTGTGCATTCAAGCTAAGATTGGCTTCAAACAACTTTCTTTGGCTTTTAAAATCTGATGGAATATTGATAAGTAAATTTGAAGATTTATGAATTCCCAAAGAAAGAGCTGGAGAGATAGTTCAGTGCTTAGAATTTGTTGCTCTTCCAGAGGATCCCCAGTTCAGTCTAAAGCATGCAGATCTGATGATTCACAATCAATGTAAAGACTATGATGCCTTCTTCTCTTCTCTGAGAACACAGACACTAACATGGTAATATCCATTCAGGACACACACACACACACACACACACACATACACACCTTGAATAAAAATAGTAACAGAATCTTTAGAATACCTGAAGAAGTTAGTCTTTAGTAATTTATCAACTGAATCATTAAACATTTGAGTAACATTTATTCAATGGCAAATAATAATAAGGTGATAATTTCCAGCAAGTATACCACCTCTTGCATTTCAATTCTTCAGTACATTGAAGGTATATTGAAATTAGACAAAGGAATTTGGAACTGACATATAATAGAAAGAATAAACACCATATCATTAATAACATACATTTACTATAGGAAGACGTTAATCAAAACTCAAAATTTTGATGCTAGATATTAAGTTCCAGAATTCTTTTGTATGTATGTGATTACAGTTAATTAAAATATTTTGCAAGTGACTTGTGTTGGGAAATGCCTCTCATTTCAACACCTGAGCAAGTGTGGCAAAGGAATACTGTTTCAATCTAGTCTGACGTGTGTACTGAAACATTTTCTGAAATAAACAAAAAATCAATAAATAGAGCCATAAAGAGAATGTTCTATTAATTTGGAAAGAATTGAAAGAATATATTTTAGGTGTTCTTATAATTAGATAAAGAGGGGAGTGTAAGATATGAACATAATCATATATATTGTATATGTGCTGTCAAATAGGCACATGGAGGACAGAGAAGGATAGTGATTCTTATACTTTATATTTATCCACCATCTCTCCTTGAGAAAGTCTGTCACTGAACCAAAGGCTTGACATTTATACTCTACTGACTCTCCTGGTAGCTCCCAGAATCTGTCGACATAAATCCCCCAAATTCTGGTGTTACAGGTACAGGCTGTCATGTCCAGTTTCTTTTATGTGAGTTTTGGGAATTGAAACACAACTCTTCAAGAATGTGTAATAGACACACATATCTACAAAACTACCTCAACCATAATGAAGATATTAAATAGCTTCATTTTGCTACTCCATAATATGTAACTATCTTATGTTGTTAGGCAACATAGATGATTATAAGAACATGTGAACAAATATAATAGCTGCCAAAAATGTACTTATGAAACCCAGCCAAAAGAAGTATTCTTTTTTTATTTCCCCAATCTTTGTGGCAGGTACAATGGCAATTGGTTAATAGTTGTCAACATCAAAGCTTGGAAATATGGAAGGTGATCATATGTACAGCAGCAAACTTTACGTGCTAAGGTTCACCCAGTGTTCTCCCTATGCTGGATCAGTTGCTTCACCATTAGCACTTCAGAGCTGCAGGTGAAACCTGAAGGGAATGAGAACCTGTTATTTGTTAGTATTTAAAGTATTGTCCAGACAGATAAACTTACTCTATTTATAGTAAGGCAGTTAGAAATACAGGTTTCTTTTTTAATTCTTTGTAGATTTCTGTGTTTCCCATAGTAGTACATGTGCTATGGAAAGAAAACTTATGGTTCTCCTTGATTCAGTAGAAGCCATGTATATTTGGAAATATTGGGAACAGAACATAAAAATGGTATATTTTGGTGACATATTTTAGATCTCCATGCTTGTGAGAATGCACTTTTATCTGTTAAACTGTCCTTTGATTTTGGTTTCCCAGGTCATAACAGCAAATAGTTCTTTTCTACTAGCTACATCTGAGTCTAAATATATTAAAAAATATATCAAACTACTAATGCAGATCCCTGTGAAATGTGAAATAGTCTTCAAATATTTGAGTTGTTTTACTCTTGTGAAATTTTTAGATATTTTATGTAAAACTATTTCAAATAGCTCCTGGAGTTCTAATGTCATCTTCCTCCTTCTTGTAGGCACTGCACCTACCTGCACATGCAAACACACATAAACAGAATTAAAATGAATTTATGTGCATCTATCTGCATATACAAATACATACACATATACAGAATTAAAATTAAAAGTAAAATAAAATTGTTTAAAAGTAAATAATATTGTTATGTTGTATAGTAATAAATATTGAAAATTTGTATCCTTTCACTTATTTGGAAGAAGTAGTTAATCTTTACTTCTCAAAAGTTTAAAATCCAATGAGAGATAAAAATCTTTTAAATTGTCCTTTGTGGGTTTTTTTTTGTCTTTGTTTTTGTTTTACTATTTCACTTTTGTAAGTATCAAATATATAAGTATTTAGCTCTCAAAGTATTTATTTCTTTATTTTACTAATATAGGTGTGCGTGCATGTGTGTGTGTGTGTGTGTGCATGCGCGCGTGCACGCACGTGCACGAGTACACAAATGCAGGCATTTGGTTCTCTTTTTCCATTCTGGGGTTTTCAGATAGAACTTATATCATCATACAGGATAAACATTCTTAATCCAATGATCCCTATTATGTATCTCTAACTCTGCAAAACAATTTTCTTTATTTCATTTCTAAAACCTTTCATTGACTGTAGATTTAATATGTGTGTAGAATAAACAGTTGTGAAGAAATAAGACTATTTCACACAACCTTCTTTAAGGAAAGATTGTCACTTTCTCACATTTAACCTGGTTTCTTTATATTCCTATATTGGTATGAGGAGCTTTGACTTGTGAAAATTTCGATAGTGGTACCATTCTTGTATGAGTAAAGTCTCCCATCAATCTCTGTGAATGTAAAGTAGCATTCTTGACTTGGTCCTGAAGGCATAGTTTAATGAATTATCATTTCCCAGTATGTAGAAATCTGTGAGCATAAAAATGTCATTTCAGTTTACACTTCCTTTCACTTGCTTTTCACTTCCCTTTCATTTCTGAGATATAAATTTTTCTTCATTCACTACAAATAAGTGGCTAACTTCACCCTTCACTTCCTATCAATCAACAGCAATTTACATGGCTTGGCATGAGGCAAGCTGACTGAGGCATCTCCACAATCCAGCTAGTTTTAAATGATTTTGATGAAACCATTGTAGATACAAAGGTCATTAGGTGTAAAATAATGAGGTAAAAAAGAAAATCATATATTGAAATGATCATGAAAAAATGTACAGAGGAATGGAATAACTTTGCTTATCATGAAGACAGACAAAGGAAGCTAGGGAATAAAATGAAGAGTAAAGAGCTGGACATGCCAAAGAACCATACTTTCCTCCAAAGGATGTACAACCTGGCCATACTGACTCTTTGACTTTAAGCCCAAAAGTGCTGCTAAATTTCCAACCTACAGAAATGAAAGATAATTAATATCTAATTGAAATTAATTAAATTTATAGCAATATGTTATACTGGAAACATAAAATTATATGGACTGTTACTGGTTTTGCATGTAAGAAAGGACAAGTGAGAAGTTGTTTTCTTTTTTTAATGTGGATGTTGGAGGTAAAAAACAAGATGGGGATGAAATTTAATGAGGGTTGAGAGATGGCTCCATGATTAAGAGCATTTGTTGTTTTTCCAGGGAGTTTAGTTTGATTCACAGTAGTCACAAAAGTAATTTGTGCTTTACAAAAATCTGATACATTATTTGTCCTCTATAGAAGCAATGATATGTTTAGATGCAGAAACACACACACACACACACATGTATGTGTGAGAGAAAGAAACAGACAGACACACAAAGACAGGGGTTGAATAAGAGGATTTTTTTTTTAAGAATTAGAGGAGAAATATCAAGGCAAGAAACACTAAAAGCTATTAACATCTTTTATTCTACCATGCTGTCCTTATATCTTTTCCTTAATGCTGCTAGCCAAATACATGCTTATAATTCAAAGAATGCACTATTTGAACATAAATTATGATGCATGCTAGTAGATAAGAAAATTCCTGTACCTCTTTCCAAAACTAAGAGGCTTCTTACAATAAAATAATCAGATGAGCCATCTAGTTACATTGAAACTATTATACCTTAAAATATAGTTCATTATTCACTGTACTTTATGTAATTGCATCAGAGCAATTTTATCAAATGACTCTCTTTAAGAAAAACTAATGAAATATCTTGAAAAAAAATGAGACATTTGATCTTGCTGTGAAACCCAAATTATTGCATCTCTAGCTCTTATAAAGACTCAAAAACACTCCAGCAATTTGAATATGTAATAGGCAAAAAGCCATCTCCCAAGTTACTGTCCAATCAGTACTATGCTCAGAAGTGATGCAGTTAAAAATGTTTACTCACTCAGTCTATACAGCTTCCTGGAGACAATAAGTATGATACATCCCTGGGAGACCTGTATTCATTTCTAATCCCATTGATTGCTTATTATTTTCTGTTGTTACAATTATAAATTAAGTATTGTAATGAGTATTGTGATTTGATTGTGTTAACTACCTGTATCCATAGAAAAATCTTGATGGGAACAGAAATAAAAATTCTTTCAAATATCTAGAGTTTTAGTAGAGTATGATAGAGCTACATTTATTCTTTCTACAGTTCATAAAAATCATAAATGAAAAATTTGAAGCCTGAAACATTTTTTTCAAAGAAAAGATATCCTTAGCCCTTTTTATGAGATATACTTGAATGATGTATTGATGCCTGCAGTAAATATATAGTTAAGAATAAGAAGAGAGATATATAAGAAGTTTCCATATTTAAAGAATAGCAAGGGAGTTTCAGCCATTTTAGTTAATAATTGATAAAATCATATAAACTATTTTTAAAAAAAGATGACCTGTGATTCTTTTTATTCATTGCAGAGACTTTTGTGTTGGATCCAGAAGTTGCTAAAGCAAATACATTGGGTTTTGTTGGATGCCTTTCTTCAGTCCAATACAATCATATAGCACCATTGAAGGCAGCCCTCCGCCATGCCAATATTTCACCTGTGACTATCCAAGGGACCTTGGCAGAGTCCAACTGTGACTCCATGGTAGACTCTGATGTGACTGGAGTGACTACTGTTTATTCCTCATCAGGTACTTCCCAGAGGATGCTCTCTTGAATTTCCATCACTAACAACACTTCTTCTATCTTATAGATCTATAGGATTGTCCACCACCACTCAGCACTTTGACTTGTATAATTATAGGTGGTTATGAATTCTAACTGTGTTCTTATGGGTCATATCTATATTTACAAAACACTCTAAAAGGAGGAAATTAAGAAAGAAACAGTTTATTTTGCTTCAAGGTTCAAGTGTCCATCATAGATGATAAGAATTAGAAGTACATGGTTATGTAACACTAATAATCAAGAAGTGAAGAATGATATATATGTGCCAGTATTCAAATCATTTTCCATTTATGCAGTCTAGGATCCCATGCAGGGATGGTGCCAATCAAAATGGGCAGATCTTCTTACCTCAGTTATGAATCAAGATAAGGTCACAAGCATTCCTAGGGACCTGTCTCGTAGATGTTTCAAGATTCTGTCAAATTGACGATTAACACTAACCATCCCACAAACAATAGTGAATAGAAAAAGACAATAGAAAGTTGTGAGTACTAGAGTTGCAGTTACTTTAATTAATGATAAATTTTAAGTATGGCATTTAACAATATTTAGATAATGTATGTTTAACTTATTAAAAATTAATAATTAACACATTAAAAATAAAATTAACTATACATACATTTAATATAATTCTAATTTTAGGTGATGAGCAGTTATAATTAATGTGTAGTTCCAGGTAGTACATATCATCCATGTATTCATAAGTATATGTATATTTGTGCATTACTATTGTTTAAGTAGAAACTAATGAGTATTTAGGGGCATGAAAACATCAGAATGGAGACTTAAATAATACCAACTTCAATATTGTGCTCTAGCTTTTTTGACCAATTATTAACAAAATTGTAGAAATATAAAGTGTAAAATGTCATACTTTGAATGTATTATGTAATTATTGTATTTATTACATTAGTTGGAAGCAGATAGGGAAAGGACAACGTTTGTTGTACAATCATGAGGATCTGAGTTACAATTTCCAGCACCCACATAAAAGACTATGTGTGGCAATAAGTACTTGTAATCCAGCTCCCTGGCCAATCAATCTCTCTGAATTAGTGAGCTCCAGATTCAGTCAGAGATATAGCCTCCAAAAAGACAATGAAAAATGATTAAAGGAAACACCAGAAATTAATATGTGACCTCAATGCTGGCTTCTTATGGGATAACATACTTGCCTAAATGCATGTATATTCATACATAAGCATAAATAAATGTGTTATAACAATATATATGTTATATAAATATAAAATATAATGTATGTTATATATCACAAACAAACAGATATATAAATGCATATTCTGTACATAATTTTACCTATTTATACCATGTGTGCCTGTATGTCTAATAAGAACATTTGATCATAAAAACATATTTGTTCATTTTATGATTTGTTTATTCAAGATAAAGTTTGTTTTCTTTAACCAACCAAGCCCAAGCTACTGAAAAGTATTATTATGCTCTGCAATCAGGTTTTGTTACAATTTCTTTATTATGAGTGACTTATTCCACTTGATATGATAATTGTTTTGTCCACATTGTTTTAGAATGAACAGCAGCAGCATTTTTATGGCTAATTAATATTCCAGTGTGTATTGTTATATGTGTATGTATGTGTGTATGTGTACTTATTCATGCATATCTATCATCTATCCATCAAACATCTATCTGACTTACATAAATAAGCATGGAGTTTAGGCAGCAACAAAAAGTATTAGGAGAAAATAGGGCTTAAGGTTTTGGTTGTGTCTTTTGTGTGATGCAAGGATACCAAGCTTGAGCCTTTTAGAATTGGATCTTTTGAGGAACTTTGATCAAACTTGTGCTATGTAGATTATTTCAAGTGGTCCTGTAATTGTCTGTATGATGTTTAGAGGAGAGAACACATTGTCTTGGGGAGGGTACGTTAAATAATAAGCTTGTTGGGTATGAAGGCTGTGGACTTGCATTTTCTGTGTGTGAAAGACATGTTTGTATTGTGTAGCATTTACTGTCCCTGGGAATCAATTAGCATAGCATTCTGTGGCACTATTTCTGAGAAAATGTGAAGAAATATCTACTCAGCTCAGATCAAGAACTGGTGACAGACCAAAGCCAAGATACTACCAAATTTCAGTTAGATGAACCAGTGAGCTTTATTCGTGCTATTTACAGGGATATAGGTGATTGATTACTCACAGGAATTTTATGACTCAAAAAGATTTATCTTGAAAGTCTACCCCAGCATGAATGATAGCTTGTTTAAACTGACAAAGGGAATCTGCAAAATTTGTAGGTAGCTCAACCACTCAGACAGAGCCTCCTCCAGGAAGTCCTGCTAATGTCTACCCATTTCAGCAGTTTTGGTGGTCTGAGAACCTTCAAAGGCAGCTTGACTGATATTAGAGCATCACTAATCAGTCCTATATAAGCTTGTGGAAGGAAAGACCTACTGCTTCTTATCTGTTTCTGCAACTTCCTGGATTTACTCAACTGTTTACTTCCTGAATCTTAAGAAATTGCCCTTTAGAACATTCTAACTCTTTAAAAGTCTCCTTGTATGGGGAATGTATCCATTACATGAAAATTGGTCCATACCTGGGAAATACATCCATATCCTGGACAGTAAGGTATCCAGATCAGTCAGAAAATTCAGGAAAATTTTAATTTATTAGTTTCCTGCATTAGCTTTGATAGACCACTCTTCAGCTACAGAGTAGTACCACATATAGAAAAAGTAATGATTGGTGTCTTTGTTTGAATTACTCTTTGACACTCCAATAAAGATTATTTTCAAAGGAAATGTATAAGTATTGTTATGTATTTCTGATGAGATATAGCATAGTACTGAGTGAAAACTCACTCTTGCTTATTCAGCAAGGAATGTCTAGTATTACACATAAAAATGGGAGTCCTTACACAACATATATGCAACTATGTATATTCAGCTAGTAGTAAACTTTTGACAAAGAAATCATAGCTAGATGAATAGATGGATTGATAGATGGTAGGTAAATAAATGGTAAGTGGCAAGTATGGATAGAGATATATTTATGCATTTATATTAAGGCATTTATTTTTGGAGGAGGGAAAGGATCTGATTTTCAAATATCATTAAATCAAGATCAAAAATGAAGTGTAAATGTTCTTGAAATATAACACCAGTGTGATGAATGTTACTCTGAAGAACATTATCACCAAACATACTTCAGAATCCATAATCCTATTAGATCTGATGTTTTCCTTGTAGCATTAGTGAACACTAAAGAATTTAAATTGATAAAGAAAATTAATATTTATTATCCTATCAACTTCAAGTAGGTTAGAAGTGGATAAATATGGGTTAATATCAGGAATATATTATTTATAATGTTAAAATTAGCACATAGGTTAAATAAAGTTGGAACCAACTTGAGTTGTGTTAAGACAAAAGAGTTTTATGAACTGTGGACAGTTAATATTTGAGTATTCATGAAAAACCAGAAAGAGTTCCAGGAAGATTTATCATAGAATATGCCAGATTTAAAAAGTTGTAAGTATATAGGCAGTAGTAGCTAAATATCTGGCATTTGCTCCTGTCACCTTCCTCCCTCTCTAACTTTTTCTTTCCTTACTTTCCTGCAACTCTATATACCTCTACCTTACTACCTCCCATCTGATCTCACTGTCAGTGTCCCTCAGATCCAGTAGCTTTGTCTGTACTCCGTCCCAGTTCTTCCCTCCAATTCTCCCTCTGTTTCATTCTGATTCCTTATGATTCTATCTCTTTTCTTTCTTCATCTTTAAGTTTTCATGTTTTCACCCTTCTTTATCTTATTTCCTATGCATCTCCACATTCTTTTCTTCTTTCCCCATCTATCTCCATCCCTGTCCTCTTCCTACATTCTCCTCTTCCTGTTTATCTGACTTTCTCTCTCTCTCTCTCTCTCTCTCTCTCTCTCTCTCTCTCTCTCTCTCTCTCTCTCTCCTCTCTCTCTCTCTCTCTCTCTCCCCTCCCTCTATCCCTCTCTCTCTTCTTCTGTCTCTGTCTCTGTCTCTGTCTCTCTCTCTCTCTCTCTCTCTCTCTCTCTCTCTGTGTGTGTGTGTGTGTGTGTGTGTGTGTGTGTGTATGTGTGTGTGTGACTCTCTCTGATTCTTCTCCTCTATGTCTCCCATTTTTTATTACATAGCAAGACCAAGGTCACCCTCCACTATATAGTCAGTTAAAGTCCAGTCAGTAATATATAAGACCCTGTCTCAAAAGACAAATTTAACTAGAGCTAACTCAGAGGTTAAGAGTACACACTGGACAGCTGCTCTCCTGGTGAGGGCTGCTCCAAGGTGCTAATTCTTCCAGTGCCTTCAGCCATCCTTGTCAGTAGACTCAGATCTACTGCAATCAATGCCACCAAAGAGCACACTGAGGCAAAGAAGAAAGTATATTTGGAGCAAAAGGTAGCCATCAGACCTATGAATTCTCCATCAAAGTAGAAGGCTGAGGAGAAGACTGAAGGTGCATAGGTCAGGCACACCTTTACACAGTTCAAGGCTGCCTAACAATTTATAAGCTAATGCACTCATAAATTAGGGACTATAAGCTGTGCATTTTATCTATCTCTAAATATGTACAAAGTGTGTTCATTTCTATGTCACAAAACATGTGGAGGTGAGAGGACAAGGCATTGGGAATCAGGACTTTCCTTCGTCTTGTTTTAGAGACACCATCTCCCCTTTGTCTATGTGTGATTTAGATATGTAACCAGATACTCTCTCACTGGGAGTACAGTTTGGACTTCCAGAATTCAGCTTTTAATATAGGTTCTGACATTGAACTCAGATATATTATTTTAAGTACCATTTATTTAGGTTCCTTTCAAACACTAGTTCATATTTCACTATAGCAGTCTTGTTACATTTTATAGATGTACATTGGATATTCACTTTCTGTTGTTGACTAAATGGTGAAGTTTACTTTTTGTGTCTTTTCCTCTTTCAAGATTCCTTTGGAAAGACAGATGAGCGTGAACCACTAACAAATGCAATCCAGAGTGACTCAGCATTCATTGGAGGTAACCTGTCTTCATTTCTGAAAGTAGGAGAGATATCTATGACTCTGTTCTCTGAAGGAAGTTATATGAAGCCTTCCTTACCTATGATAACCCAGAACACAGAAACAGGCACTCTCTGCTTAGCACTTAGCCTCTTCATGCATGGTATAAGATTGATGGCAGATCCTCCTTCAGTGCCAAAAGCTCTTTAGCTTCATTTTGCCTTAAATTCAGCAGGGAGCTGATTTCTGAAGCAACAGCTGGAACATTTACTCTTAGGCATAGTAGATCATGTTCATTTCATCCACTTCTAAACCACAATCAAAACAGACTAATAAAATTATGTGTGGAAAGAAGTCACATTGGGGCAGACAGATGGACAGAGCAACAGTCATTTTCAGTTTTCCTTACTAAGTGACTTGGGTTAGATCTAATAAGCAGGATGAACCCTACACAACTGAAGTTCCAAACTTAGCAATCCATCTGGTTGTGGACATAGAGCTTGCCTGCTCTGCTTATAGATCATCCTCCATCACTTTGCTTACTTTATTATATTTGAATTGACAGTTGACTGTATCCTACCTACTTTTGATTCTCTTAGCTGCTAGCTGTACTAGCACCTAATGCCTGCTGTAGTCAGAAGTTTGATGTTCTCATCTGGGTCTTCTAACATGGATTAACTCCTACATTAGGTTTAATATAAGATGCTTGAGATATGAAAATCCACTGATGATTTATAACTCTAGCTGGTGCTTCACCCCTGCATTCTGGCAGCTGGGATTAATGAATCCACAACAGATGTGGTTCTATAAAAGTTAGTAGGTGTTATTCATTTCACTCTCATTTAATTCACTTCTGCTCTGGATCAAACTTTTACTGGGTACAGAGATTAAGATGAGAGGCATGGTTAGGGACTACCTAGAATGAGCACACTAGGAAGGAAATGGGAAATCAGGAAATGGTAGAACCATAGACATTAGTTCCAAAATAAAAGAACTGGGATGGAAGGAGTCCATCACAATAACATACCAGAGAAACAGAAGTATCACCTTTCCTTAGGGAGCACCTTAAGATATCCATGTGAGCTGAATGCCATCTCAAGGAATGATGACTGAATTTGATATTTCTTTGAAATCAGTAAATGTCATAGGAAATTTTGTACTTCTTTTGTTCCTGTAAGTTCTCATTTAATAGACAAAGACTGGATTGTGGCCTTCTGGATTCATTGGCAAGTTCTACCGAGTCTCTCTGAGTGTAGGGAGGCTTTCAAAGTTCCACAGGAGATCCTGGGATGCTTTCCCAGCTGTCAGCCTGTAGTAACCCCTTCAAACCAGTGGCAGAAACAAAGGGAACACCTAGCACATTTTAAGTCAACAGTTCATGCTTCAGAACAGTCGTTTGTTGCCACCCTGATTAGAGTATGAACTTAGATATTGTATTTTTCTTCTTTAAAAATATTTGGGAAATGTATTACAAAATTAGTTTAGAATATGTGACAAACACAAGTGATCTTAGTTATTGTAACAGCTGTTTAAAAAGTGGTGGAAGATAGGTTTATATATTTAACTGTATGGTATCTAGTCGCATAAATAGTGCCATTTAGACCAAGGAATTCTTGTCAAGTCTGAGCAATGACCAGCAACAAGTTTCTAAATAGGTAACTTTTCATTAGTTAGACAACTTACAAAATATGAAATATGAAAATATGTATACTTTAACAGAAATTAAATTACTTTTATGTTGATATTAATTATTAATTTTGTGTGCATTTTTTTGTTTCTGAATAGGTTGAATTTTGTTTCATTTATTTTGAAATAAAGTATCTGTATGTAGCCTAGGATGGTGAAATGCAAGAGAGAGCAAGAGAAACTTGCTTCAAAACAATGTAGAAGGCAAGAACAAACTACTGAAAGTTGTTTTTTGTCATTAACACAAGTGCTATGGCAGTCAGGTAATTACACAAACCTACACACTAATACACACACACATACATACATATTCACACATAATACACACATACACATACATATATACACATGCACACACATATGCAAGCATGCATGAGGGAGAGAGAAAGACAGAGAGACAGATAAAGATAGAGACAGACAGAAACAAATAGGGTGGTGCCATTTAGACCAAAGAGTTCTTGGCAAGACTTGGTGTATTTAAATTTCTGTGAAGTTTGGTATTGATCCCTAGCAAAAAAACAAAACATAACTCTGGAAACACACAAATCCTTTGTTGTTCTAATACTATATTTGTTCTTTGGTTATCAATATAACGTTCTAGAACAAGCAGCCTTTCTCAATACTGTACTTGCATGATTTTTTTGTAGAAACTTAAAGTCAAGGGCTTCTGAACAGGTCTTTATTTCTAGATTCAGGGTAGATTAGTCTTTGTATGTTTGTACATTTGCTCTTTTTTTCTCCAATGTTGGCCCTTGACTAAACTGAATTTTCTCAGTAACAACTTTCTTTTCCCTTTTTTCCTAACAGGTGTCATAGCAGTTGTGACATTTATCACTTTTTGTGTCATTGGAATCATGACGCACTTCCTCTATCAGCACAAGCAGTCACACAGTACCAATCAGATGAAGGAGAAGGAATACCCAGACAACTTGGACAGTTCTTTTAGAAATGACATTGATTTGCAAAACACAGCCGTTGAGTGCAAACGGGAATACTTCATCTGAGTTGCTGGAGGGTCCCCTGGTCCTCTTTTTTGTGGAGGTTTCTGTCTCTTTTTCTATTCTCTTTTCTTTCTTTTAATTTAGGCATTCTCTTTCTCTCACATGCCATTGCTTTTCTAGAATACATATGCATCCACCAAAAGCACTTATCTCCTTGACCCAGCTCAAGAGATTGGGTAGTTATGAATATTGTAATCCATTGACATATGTGTCTTTGTGAAAATGACCACTGCAGACAGAGACTTCATTATCTTAAATAAGGAAGAGACACATGTGCCCACATGTACATTCCATAATTGTAGTCCAGTTTCTAAATTTCACTCTTCAAATTCTCAGGCACTTGGTCTTGCCAGCTTCTATTAGACATGAGCTATGTGGTGTTTGCCTTTAACAATTGTCTCTGATCAATATCATATTGTTAGGTTTTATGGCTGTAGAGAAGAAAAAGGAGTGTGTATGTGTGACAGGGAAAGACATTGTTTAAGGAATGAGTTTATTAGGGAGCAGTTTCCCAATAGAGCAGGAAAGTAGGAAGAAAAGTAAATCTACCCAGAGGAGGCAACATTTGTTCTTTAGGTTCCTTCTGAGAGAGGAGAAAAGTTTTGAGACATTGGGCCACAAGAAATGTTTGTAAAGTTAGTAGGCTGTGTGTGTGTGTGTGTGTGTGTGTGTGTGTGTGTGTGTGTGTGTAAATCAGGTACATTCATGGCTTAATGAGCAATGGGCTTAATTAGTGTGTCACCCTGACAAGGCAGAATTCATTTGTCCTGCCAATATCCTTTCTTGACTCATGACTTAAATTGCTAGGAGACCCTGCTTCCATGAAGGAATGGGGAGTTGAGTTGAGAAAGGCTATAAGTCTGTGTGGGACATAGAATAGAAGCTCTTCATAGCACCTTGGAGAACAAATAGCATGAACTCATAGGATCCCAGTTATAAGAATACCAACCTGGTAGACCCAAGGCAGAGGGAGACCCTTCCTGCTGGATTTGATGGCTTTTGGAAAGAAGCAAGAGGTGTTTTATTATGTTAGTTTAATGTCTAAACTATAAGTATCCCCCTGACTCCATTCATTACCCTTTTCATAGAATTTCAGAACTTTCTAATATTAAATGAATGGTGAGCAACAACTTTGCTCTTTTCTTGCTATGCTATTTTGAGGCATGGATACCAGAGGGTTTCAAGAAAGATATGAGGAAGTAGCTATTCCTGTAACTTGCTGCTTGCCTTCTCCACATTATTAGAACATGTTAGCTATGATCTAATATTCCCCTAAGAAAAGAAATATACATGTATGTGTATTGTGGTGGCATAAACAGAATTCAAATAAAAGTCTAAATTATTTTTATGAAAAGGTGTAAGCCAACCTAGCTGAGATTGTAGGAAAACTGGAAAAAAATATGGAAAATGAAAAATATCATGAAACTTTAATCTGATTGAGAAATGTCTGGTAAAGAAAGAATGTACAGGTTATCAGGATTCACATTATAGAACACATGGAATGAGTTCTTTCTAACAACTGAGATATTTCCCAAGAGGCAAGGGACTGGCTGTTATGCAAGGCAGTGTTGTCACCTCTAGATGAGAGGACTTCAGGAGAGTCCGTAGTTTGTGAAGCACATCACATTTTTCAGTCTGTACCTATACCCATGTACACATAGCTGTCTCATATGGTTGACTGATGTGTCTATTCATTTCTGGCTTTGGGTTCTTTTGTTAGCAAATCATAAAATTCATTGAAAGAAGCATCTTGAATTTACTGGTGGTGTGTAATCTTGATCATTTTATGGTAACAATATTTTTAACTGTGCCATTGGACCACCTCCAGGAAAAGAATAGAGAGAAACTATCCGAACATTTCAGTCCCCAGGAAATACTAGAAGCAAGATCCTGGTGAGTTCCCATTGCAGGGCAGACCTGATTTGCTAACAGGTGCTTGACAGTCAGTAGGCCATCCATCTTCATAGTAAGTATCCTACTTCTTACTGTACTTCACTGTCCTGGACAAGGAAGTTCTGAATAAAGAGGTTAGTAGCTTAATCCAATTTTCCTTCTGTAGCTTTTCTTTTTTTACAAAGCTACAGAGGAAAGGATGAAGGTGAAACAGGCCACAAATATGAGATATTGTCCTAAATATATGTTTTTCCTCAATAATTTTTTATTAATTCTGACATACCACTTCCTTTTCTGAATATTAGTTTTTGCTAGTGAATTTATTTTAAAGTAATTCTAACAAACATGTCCGTTTAAATTTTTTATCTTTAATAATAGGAATGTTTATCTAATAAAACAATAAATATTAAGAGACTATTTCCTTTTCCTTCTACTTCCATGTTGTCTAGTTTCTACTTTTGAATTTTATGGCTTTATACAAAACTGTATAAATTACACTTTCTCTTGGCTACATATTCCTCTCTCACCAGAAACAAAGACCATGCTGAAGTTTAGTTCTAAGCACCTCTAGTATTGAAATGAGAGGTAAGAAAGAGTGTTCCCACTAGTATATTTTCTAACTGGAGTCCTTAGAAACAAGTACTACATTTTGCTGGCATGATGCTGGTGGATAGAAATGATGTTACAAGCAAATTGTGTACAGTTTCCTCATCCCCTACTGTATGCTTATAGGTAATCATGTAGGGAAATGCATGAAGCCAGTCTCTGCCCTCTGCATAGAGCACATTTTACTAGCTTCATCCTTTGATTAGCAGGCTGTGCAGACCAGGACACTGGGCTAGTAAATAAAATGTTGGATATTGCCAAGTTGGTGCACTATTATATGTAATCTCAGGGCTAAATCATAATTTCCTCACAAAATGACAACACACACCAGATGAAAAGGTAGTAATCTGCACCCTCCTACACTGAATGGCCTCACAGTGAGAAGCAAGAGCTAGTGTTAGCATGGCAGCAAGATCTATTTGGTTTATGCACTTACTCAATTGTGTCCACACAGAAGTCTACACAGAGCACCACTGAGCAAAGAGTAAGTAATGTGCACATTTAATTTATGAGTAGTTTCCAGAGACTTCTAGAATACAACACATTCCTGGCTAATTCTTTGAATTTTGTGTCTTATTTATTAAATCTACCAGAGATAATTGCTTTGTTTCCCTTCCTCAAACTAGGTAACTGTCCATGCCAACAAATTTCCGTAGAAGATGGTAAATGGTGTCTTTGGACAGTGAAAGAGGAAATAATACCTGTATCACACAATTTCTATAGATGGGTTTCACTAGGTAGTCCTAACTGGTCTGATATTTTATTATAAATCAGCCTGGCATCAAAACTCAGAAAGAAATATCTGACTCTGCCAAGGTGTAGACCATCATATCTGCTTATATAAAATACGTTTGAAAGAATGCTAAATTTTATGTTCTTATTAAAGCATTTCAAATGTATGTCTCTATATGTGGCAGACCTATATAAAGATTGCAGGCAGAAATAGATCTCCCTTATAGTGGTTGATAGTCTGATGTTTTTAACTCTCCCCTCTGTGCCCTAAAGATCAATTTGACTACAGTTAGGAAAATCTCTGAGACCTATAATTCATTTATTGAGTGAATAATTTATTGATGTGTTTCCCATCTAAACAACTTCATATTAATGTATGTTCTACATGGCTCTTTCCAACCTTGGACATCATGCATGTTCTCTCACCATATCATCTCAATTTGAAGACTCACACTGGAAAGGTGTATTCATAATATCCCTATCAGATCCATGGACACAGGCACCAACCTGTGGAATTATTGTTTATTTGTTTGTCTGCCAAATATTTCACTTCTTTGGAATTCCTTAGAGCTACAAACCATCAAATCTGTTCCAACTGCAGTCTGGTAGGAGACTCATAGGAACCTATGTAATTCTTCCACTATTATTCCTGAAACAATTGCTTGTGTATGCTTGGTACTCAGCTGTCCTCCAGGCCATGTTTTTACTAAATAAATAAACATACAAAGTTTTACCTGCATGTGGCAAAGGAGGTTAAGGGAAGAGGGGTACAAATATGCTTCAGTTCTTGAATGATGATTGAGTATTCTTTCATTTCCTTCATACAGATTGGAAATGCTTTTTTTTTAAGACTCAGTTTATTTGAATCACTTCTGTACAATTTGGGATTTTCTTGTGACTTTCTGAACATTTCTCTCTGGCTTTATCCTGTGTCTTCCTCACATCATTTGTTTTGAAAGTGTCTTTTCTTCTTTCTTATCTTTGTGTTCACAAATTCTAAATATTCAATCCACCTGAAAGGGGAGAACATATAACACACATACATACACACACATATACACACACATACAGAGAGAGAGAGAGAGAGAGAGAGAGAGAGAGAGAGAGAGAGAGAGAGAGGGAGAGACTGACTTAGCAGGGCTGTTCCTCAAATATTATTCAGGAAACTAAATCCATATCTACCTTGTAGGGAGAGAAGTACCATTTGTGTTAGAAATTCTTTAAATGCCTCAGGCAAGGTTCTAATGATTGTTTTTGCTATTTATAAGTGATCCCCCTCCTCATTTTGTACTAAGATACTCCGTAGAAGAGTAAGAAGCATATTTTTATAGTGAAACAGTGAACTTTGTATGCTAGTCCTCTAATCTTTGCAGTCTACATGAGCAAGGTTTAAGGAACAGTGATCTTCTGTGTTAGGGCAGACTTAATGGGACTCAAGTAGGAAAGGTGTATTCATGGTGTAAGTAATTACATTTGGAGGTAAAGAGAGCCAAAGCTTCTACCATGAAGTAAGGATGGTTCCTCTCCTATCTCCTTGGCTTCTTATTCAGGAGTCTCTTTCATGCATTATTTTTATACCTTAGGGAAGAGAGAATATTATGCCACGTATAAGAAAGAAATGTGTTACTGATCCTCACATGGCATTTTCACTCAACCTGGTGACTTTCAAATTTCATGTTCTACTAGTATAACCTAGAGATCCTTTGGAATTATCACCACAGTGATTTTATCTGCCCAGGGTGAGCACCCTAATGACAACCTTAAGTAAAATA